TTGTGAGTAGCAGAAGCATTCTGGGATTGGAATGAGGGCCCCCAGAGTGGAATTCCATTCCCAGAATGCTGCTGCTACTCCCAGGGGCTGTCATTCCACTTTGCACCCTGTCATTCCAGTCCCAGAACACAAATTAATCTTCGTGGTCTCTGTGCATCACGCCTCTGGGGGGGATATAGTGTGCCTGCGCCGACCCCGATTGGTACTTTTTAGAAAGCGAAAGGGATTTTCGCGCCCGCTCCCCAGTCACCAGCCCCACTGCGCATGACTAGGGGAGGGTCACGGCAACCCCGCCAGTTCTCTTCTGACCGCCGTGCTGGTAGGATCTTCTCTGCTTTGGTCAGTAATTTTCTGGCTTTAAAGCCTTTTTTCTTACTTCTTCTCTTCAAAGTTTTTTCCTGCTAAGTGAAAGGACATTATTGTTACTTGGTCTTGTTTTTTCCGGACTCTTTTGTTTGGGTCTCCCAGCTGGGCAGACCCCTTCTCACACACACCCCGCCTATGGCCAAGAGGTGGGGTTTCTTTAAACAGTGCCTCAAGTGCAGTAGTAAAATCACACACACACACACACACACACCGATGGACACTCGCTTTGCCTTCTGTGCCTTGGGGAATCTCACTGAGTGGACTCCTGTGCCCATTGCGCGAAGTTCTCAAAGCAGACGAGAAAGAATAGGGCCGCTAGACTTCGTGTCGCACTTTTGGAGTTACTCCCTCACCAATGTCGTCGTCACAGGACACTTAGGGACATGCTTCGATGTCTACTCCCGCCTTGGGATCGACGGCCACATTATCTCTGATACTGACTCACTCCAATGTCAACCGCCCGATGCTGAAATGCTCGGCCCTGACATCTCAGTCCAAAGCCCATACTCCCACCAAAAAAACGCAGGGAGGGCAAGGACGACTGGCCAGTCAAGCATAAGACCCCCCCCCTAAAACTCCGCTGACCCCTCGGAGGACCATGGAACCTACTCCCAGTGGGGCTGCTTCACTTGACTCCACGGGCCGTGAGCAGCAACAAGGTGCACCCCTCTCACCTTCGCTGTGTCCTATCCAGCTCACTGACTCTGAGCACGACATGGATTTAACACAGATCTCCCAGTCTTACAGTGTCGAAAGCCTACACTCAGACCATGGAGCTGGCAACTTTGTGCATCCTTCACCGCTTCGATCCAACGATCGAGACCGACCGTCGGTACCGATCCACCGCTACCCCCTTGGGATCAATGGCAGTAGCAATACGTGTATGGAGCCTACCCCTTTACAAATGGCATGCCATGGCCCCCACCCCAACCGGTGGAATGGGATCATCAATCCACTTCCTCTCGACTTTCTTGGTATTGAGACCCTCTCCCGACGCCAGAATTTGCAAAACCCCAGCCGTTGAGACCAACAGGTAGACCAGCCAAACCACTGCCTCCAGTGGTCCCCAAGTTTAAAGATCCATTGGAACCGATCCTATTGACACTAATGGTCCCTATTTCCTTTCCCGAACCCTCTGAACATTCTGCCTTTTCTGACACCTCCTCCCATTCAGGAGACGAGAACCCTGACCCTCCGGTGGAACCCTCACCACCTCAGCAAGTGGGTGATGATCTCCCAAATTCTCTGTCAGAGGATCTAAAATTCTATGGGGATTTCATCAAGCAGATGGCCATCACGCTGTCCCTGTTTACTGTACAACCCCCACCGACAGTAACAGACTCTGTGTTTGATATCGTGCAGATGGACACTTTGACAGCAATCGCCTTAGCGATTACTTCGGTTTTGCTCCAGGCGGGCAAGGTTCCGTGGTCTCATCCGGCTTCCACCCCTGTCTCTAGCCGGGTAATAGAGCACATGTATAAAGTGCAAGAGCCAGGTGCTGAATTTTTATTCAACCCACCCCAAGCCTAACTCGGTGATAGTCACCTCCTCTTCCAAAGGCAAATGCAGTCATTCCACACACCCTGAAAAAGAAGGAAAGAAACTAGATTCGTTTGGAAGAAAATTTTACTCTGCTGGAGCTCTTGGCATCAAGCTTTCCAACTATACTGCATGTATGGGGAGATATCAGTTTGCCCTCTGGGAACAAATGTCTGAGTTTATTGCAGCCCTTCCTGAGGAGAGGACTTTAACCGTCAAGCTTGCAGAATTCAAAAGAAGGGCATGCTTTTGGCTAAGCACTAGCTCAATGCAACTAAGCACACTCTGGATGTGGCGGCTAAAACATTGGCTTCGGCAGTCACCCTCAGGCATCATGCCTGGTTACGTTCCACAGCCTTGCCACAGGATACTAGAACTCTCATTGAGGATCTTCCGTTTGAGGGCGAGGGCCTTTTCAGTTCCATAACTGATACTGTCTTGCAAGATCTAGACAAAAGCATTAAAACATTTCGTAATTTAGGGGTCACATCAGCTTCTAAAGTAAACAGAACAAAATCCTGGAACAAGTCATGGTCCCACAGATCCTCTCTTAAGTCCTCTCTGGAGGCGCAATGGCAACGGTCACCCACTGTGTCTTCTTGCCCTTATGGACACAAATCTAAGTTTTCATCCACCACTCAATCTAGGGCTAGGGCTGGACCCAAACAGAGCCTTTGACTCATGTCATCTGCCTTTACCTCCCACTCGCCTATCTCCTTACCTGGCTGCTTGGCAGCAAATAACATCGGATTTGTGGGTACGCTCTGTTATCGAGAAGGGATACCTCATAGAATTTATCCGGATGCCCGAGGCCCCCAATTTTGTGCTTACTCCACCTTCCAGCACACTCCTGGAAGAAATTCAGAATCTTCTTCAAAAGGATGCTATAGAACTAGTCCCAATGCTGCAACACCACTACGAGTTTTATTCCCGTTATTTTACAGTCCCCAAAAATGACGGAGGCCTCCATCCTATTATGGACCTCAGGAAACTCAACGGCTTAATCTCCTATCGGAAATTCCGAATGACAGCCTTGCAAAGCATTCTCCCACTTTTCGGCAAAGAAGTTTGGATGGTAACCCTGGACTTACAAGACGCATATTTCCATATCACTATCCACCATTTCACAGAGGGTTTTTGCGGTCGGGGGCGGCCATTTTCAGTACAAAGCCCTCCCTTTTGGGCTCTCAACAGCACCCAGAGTCTTCACAAAAATGATGATTGTCATTGCGGCTTACCTCCGTCTCCAGGGTGTGCGGATTTTTTGGTACATTGACGACTGTATATATATATATCAGGAGAAACTTCCTAACTGTAAGAGTGGTTGAGCAGTGGAACAGTCTGCCTTGGGAGGTGGTGGATGCTCCTTCGCTGGACGTTTTCAAGGGGAGGCTGGGCGACCATCTTTCGGGTATGTTGTAGGTATGTAGGGCTATCTTTCAGCTATACTCCTCAGAGTGCAGGGGGTTGGACTAGATGACCTGCAAGGTCCCTTCCAACTCTAACATTCTATGATTCTATGTGGTAGCAAGCTACAGAGAGACTCTTCTCAACCATATCGATTTGACATTGGTTACCCTAGATGCTCTGGGCCTGAGGGTGAATTTGAAAAAGTTAATGCTTCTTCCCTCGTTAAGAGTCCAATTCATCAGGGCAATCTTGGACTCAAAGGTTTGCTGAGCCTTTCTTCCTCCCAAGAGGGCGGACGATATTATCACTCTCATCGGCCTAGTGAAGAAACAGGGAGATGTGTCAGCAAAACAGATTCAATGACTCCTAGGGCTGATGGCCGTGACCACAGTGATACTTGTCTTCACCAGGCTACGGATGAGACCACTTCAGCTGTGGTTCCTCAAGAGGTTCCATCTGCAATGGCAGCCCCAATCTCAAAGGTTCATACTCCCTACACAAGTGCTAGCTTCCCTGAAGTGGTGGGAAACTCCAGAAAACCTTCTTCAGGGAGCCCCATTTCATGCACCCAGCCCCCAAATGACCACAGATGTATCCCTGTGGGGATGGGGAGCACATCTCAGAGGTGTATGCGTGGGCACCAGGTGGGAACCTCATGTGGCCCACAAGCACATCAACTTTTTGGAACTGTTGGCCATCCAATATGCCCTCAGGTCTTTTCGTCACCTCGTGGCTCACCGCACGGTAGCAGTCCTAACCGACAACACTACCACACTGTGCTACCTGAACCGGCAAGGGGGAATGGTGTCCAGGGGACTCTGCTGACTACCCTTGGAGATTTGGGCCGAATTCCAATCACAAGATGTGTTCCTCATTGCGGCTCACCTGCCCGGGTCACTCAATGTACACACAGACTTCCTGAGCAGGGGAGGGGCATCCCTCCAGAAGTGGGAACTCAACTGGGAGTATCTCCAACCAGTTTTTGATAGATGGGGTCACCCAGAAATAGATGTGTTTGCAATGTGTCAAAACGCAAAGTGTCACCTGAAATGTACCAGGGTGGGACGGGATTCTCTATCTCTGGGAGACGGTCTCTTCTACCTGTGGTCCCACAGGCACATGTACCTGTTCCCACCAATCCCTCTGCTTACCAAAGTGCTAAGCAAGATCATGAAGCAACAACCTTGGTGCATCCTTGTGACTCCATGGTGGCCGCGCCAGCATTGGTTCCCAGCTCTGCTCCACATGTCCCAGGGCTCCTTCATGCATTTTCCTCCGGCACCAGAACGCCTCCTGGATCAGGGGGGATCAACTGCTCCACCACGATGTACCACACCCCAAACTCACGGCGTGGAGAATCCTCTAGCACAGTTTAAAAGCAGGATAGATCACGTTCTGTTGAACTGTCATAAACCCGCCACGCATGCTTTCTATGATGGGAAATGGAAGACATTTTTAACTTACCTTGAGTCGTGGGTTTACCTCCGCCTCCTACGAGCTTGGTCGCAGTTTTTGGATTCCATTTGTCCCCCTTGGACTTGGGTCTTAGTTGTGCTTCACTGAAAGTTTACCTGGCCGCCATCTCTGCTAATCACCCTACAGTGGACGGCTATTCCATTTTTTCTCACCCACAAATGAAACAGTTCCTGAAGGGCCTTGCTCGCCTCTTCCCTCTGGCTCGTGGCCCTACCCTCTCCTAGGACTTACTTCTAGTGCTGTCCAAACTGATGGCCAGACCATTTGAGCCCATGGCCACGTCCAGTCTGCAACTTCTCTCATGGAAGACTGCTTTTCTGGTAGCTATTACCTCAGCAAGACGGGTGAACGAGTTGTCTGCACTCCGTTGTGACTCACCGTACTTAGTTTTTCACCATGATGGTGTCACCTTGGCTCCAGATGTCTTTCCTGCCCAAGGTTGTTTCTGAGTTCCATTTGCAAGCTGACATTGTTCTTCCAGCGTTCTTCCCGTCCCTTGCGAGCAGCGGGGAACGTCGTCTTCACACATTGGACGTAAAGAGAGCCCTGCCGTTCTACCTGGATAGGACAAGGCCCTTCCGGCAATCACTAGCCTTTTTTGTCTCCTATACCACACCCGTGCAAGGGAAGAAGCTCCCTTCGCAGCGTCTATCCAAGTGGATTGTGGAGACGATTAAACTGTGCTACCTGCTGGCCAAAAGGCCACTCCCGGGTATGCTCCATGTGCACTCCACCCTGGCAGTAGCTATGTCTACAGCCTTCCTGCGAGGTTTGTCGCTCAGTGACATCTGTCGAGCAGCAACCTGGGCTACTCCTCACACGTTTGTGAAGCATTATGCCTTGGATGTGTGTCTTCATCAGCGTTCTGCGGTGGGACTAGCGGTGTTACAGGTGGCACAAGTCTAGGACCTTCCGCTCCCTCCTCCAGGTAGGCTTGTTTTTGCTTGTTAATTTCCCAGAGGTGTGATGCACAGAGACCACAAAGAAGATAGACAGGTTGCTTACCTGTAACTGATTATCTTCAAGTGGTCATCTGTGCATTTACACCACCCGCCCTCCTTCCCCTCTGCTTTCGGTCCTCTCGTTTTTTGCTCTAAGACTGATGGCAGTGGTCAGAAGGAACTGGTGGGATTGTTGTGCCCCTCCCCTAGTCGTGCGCAGTGGGGTCGGCACGTGACTGGGAAGCGGGTGTGAAAATCCCTTTTGTTTTCTAAGAAGTACCAATCGGGGTCAGCGCAGGCGCACTATATCCTCCCAGAGGTGTGAATGCACAGATGATAACTCGAAGATCATCAGTTACAGGTAAGCAACCTGTCTTATTGCTAGGGACCATCATTCTGCTCTGGGGGCTGTCTATTGCTGGAAACAGTTCCAGAGTAGTCTTATCTGGGTGCAGAGACCTTAATAGAAAAATCCATTCTGTATTTTCTTTGTAACTTTGCAAGCCCAGAAGAGCTTCCTGCCAAAGCAGGCAAAGACAAGAGGGAGGGAGCTGGGAACTTCGGCAGCCTGGAGCTTCAAAAGGTGAGGACAGGAGGGGGAGGAGGAGGTAGAAAAGAGCCATAGGCCAGATTAAAGCAATGGGTGGGCCGTTTCTGGCACGCAGGCCTTAAGTTTGACACAACTTGAAACAAACACAACTTTAAGTTTGACAAGCTTTAAACAAACTGGTCCAAGAGCTCATTTGTCTCAATGTCTACTGCTGCTTCCCCACCCCCTGGCTGTAGCTCCCATTCAGGCATTGCTTTCATTGCTGAAGTAGGATGAGATAAGCAAACCTGGCAGGATATGCAACAAGCTTTAAACAGTTTCATTGAGATGGAGAATTTGGGGGGGGGGGGCTAACCACTTCCTTCGACTTCTCAGTTTAGCAATGTCCCAAGGCAGCTTTTGATTCTTAAAAATATTGGGAGAAAGAAGAAGAGAAGGAGATTGGATTTATACCCCGCCCTTCACTACCCAAAGGAGTCTCAGAGCGGCTTACAAACTCCTTTCCCTTCCCCTCCCCACAACAGACACCCTGTGAGGTAGGTGGG